ACCCATCCATGTGATGGTTTGCTGGATTGGTTATATATTATTATATATTGTCTCACTGTTTACGAGGAAATGTCCCACTGGTTCAATGAGGGGCTCGGACCTAACTAGTTATCCATTGGTTCAATAAGGAAGCTAGTCTAAGGTGTATGACACCCCATAGTGTGAGAAATGGGGAAAACCGTATTTCATGAGTGAGTTGGATGCGTCTTGTCAGGTAATTCCCTCACAAGTGTTTAGGTTAGGAAAGTCATACATATAGACTATCCCCATTATGTTATAGCCCATGATTTCATATTAAAGGAATAAGGAGGATATACGAGAGGTGTGATCATACATATATGAGTATGGGCACATGATTGTTTGTATTATGACCCTGATAGTAATAATCATGAGTTGAGCCTAATTATCTCTGATGACTGTCAATGACTTGTGTGACCAACTTTCTTGATATGAAAATTGCTATAAGCATTATTTTCCCAATTTTCTATTAGCTTGAAAATACGGATGTATATTCTTAATATTTTACCTGATTTGAGGATTATTTATATGCCACTTACTTATAAAACTAATTGACATATATTAATATGGGTTAGTTGGACCTTAGTTATTGAGTGTTTGTACTTACCCTACTATCTTCAATATTATAAGGAATAGCTCAAAGGTGTGGACAAAGGAAATCACCCAAAGGCTTGGGGCCACAATCCTATTATAGTAGGCCTCTTCATTTGAGTATTTATATGTGTATAATAATTTTAATTGTCAATTAGGAATTCTCATTTGATCCTTACTTACTTATATTATAATTTGTAAGTTGTAAATATATTTTGAACCTTAGGAAGTGAGTTGATGACATATGTTATTTGTGATAGGGTCAAAATGCTAATGCATGTAAGAGTAGAGTATATTATGAGCTATTATAGAGTACTTGATGAAATTGTGGCAACTTCTCCCTTATATGATTTTGAGACTTAAGGGGTTGAGTAGTAAAAATTTAATCTGTGAGTATTTCATGTGATATGGTGCATTGCACGAGTAATCTTAATAATTTTCATGTGGTTAAATTGGTATTAGTTGCTATTGGTATTTTGATAAATGATTCGGACACTTTGTTTTGTGAAAATTGTTAAAAAAGTGTAAGTTTTAAAAAGTGTATCCAATTTGTGATTTAGAAAGAATTTGAGACTATAACTAATGCTATTAGTTAGAGTTCAAATGAGCTTTCTGTAGACACCTAATTCATGTCAATCGAACGTTGGATGGAGATTTAGGGTGCATCCAAAAATTGTCCGTAATGCTGTCAAATTAACAACAAAACTTGTTGTTAAAATTCATACAATTACACAACGGTGCATGTCATAAAGGTGAATATGTCACGGCGCATGTTAACAAATCACAGTGCACGCCAAAATTTTTTTAGAAATTTTCTTGTTTCAATTTTAAATAAATGTACTCACTTATATAATAATTTCATACTTCTGCATGCTTATGAAACTCTGATTTACCTAATTATATGACTTTGAAAAATGATTTAATTTTGTAAACTTAGGTTCCCCCATTTTTATTAACTATTGAAACTTGGTATTATGTCAACCACTAAAATTCCATTTCTTATTTACTTAAGGGTTGGACTAGTTATAAGATATATAAGGAGGAAGATTACAAACTTAGTATCGGTTTCTCAGGTTATAAGAACTGATTTGTGGATTGTGTTGAGTGACTCTGGTTGTTTGTGCATTTGCATATAAAGTTGGCAATTGTCATTATACACATATTGTTTTCCTCTCTTGAGCTAGTACTAATCATTTCATCTTTAGGAGGGGAGAACAGTGCAAACAAGAAACACAGTTGGCAATGTTCCAGTAAACTTATCTACATAAGAGCAAGAAGTCTTGATAGAAGTGGAGAATGAGGTAGTCCCAATTAAAGAAGAGAAAGTAGAAATAGGACAAAATCAAGAACAATCTATACACTCTACGAGTAAAGATAACGCATACTTGAGTTAAGAGTAATGATGGAGAGAATTGAGAAGAGATTGGATGAGCATGATAAGATTCTTGAGAAGAAGCCTAAGGAAGGGTGTGGTGGTACGGTTGAGAAAACTGAAGGTAACTAAAAGAAGAAGAAAAGAGTTGAGATACTTGAAGAAGTGCAAGGGTATGGAAATGAGAAGTATTATGAGGAGAGTACACCAAAAAGGTCAATACATTTTATGAGACCGACTGAAAAGGAACATGAGGGCTCCATCGACTACGCACTCAAAAGATTCATGAGATTGAATCCTCCCCAGTTTAATGATTCCATAGAGAATAGAGCTGGTAAGAAGTGGATAGACCAGTTAGAGACAATATGTTTGTGATGACCTGCATGTGGAGCAGCAAGTACTCTTAGCTACTTTTATACTAGAGGATGCTGCCAAACAATGGTGGGAGAGCATAAGGCCAGTTGATGGCTTTTCTACTTATATGGAAGGAATTCAAGAAGAGATTCTTTGCTCGCTATTTCCCACCTACCTTCCAAGCTGAGAAAGAATTTGAGTTTCATTGTCTACAGCAAGGAAACATAAACAAGGAGGAGTTCATTGCCAAATTCACTGAATTGTCAAGTATTCAACCTATTTGAGACACCATGATGATAAGGAGTAGAAGGCTGAGCAATTCTTAAATAAGATGCGGCCTGAGTGTACTAGGCAATTGGCAGCCTTTAAGATCACTTCCTTTGAGGTGATGTGTAATAAGTTTTGGCCCATTGATAGAATAAGCAGATCAATAGATGATAAGAAGCAAGATGGTCATGATCGTTTCTCTTCATTCATGGGTCCTATCGACAGTGTGAGCAAGAAGACTGGCTTTAGTTTTGGATTGTTTCGAGGGTTTAATGCCGAGAGTGCAAGGAATCATTTCAAAAGGGTCTTAATCCAAGGGATCTTATTCTAAGAGTAGTGCACCTAGAAGTATAGGAGGTCGGAACCAGACTTTGAGGCAGGATTCTGCGCTTACTATTATTGGACATATGAGAGCCCCACATTGCAACAAGTATGGGAAGTATCACATTGACTATGATGTAGATCAAATTAATCTCAGCATGGTTCACCACGCGATGAATGTATCATTAGCTATGACGAACGACTCATAATTTTGTGAAATGTCATTTTTATCCTTTTTTGGTAATATTTTTCAAACAATTGGTATCTCATACTTTCATATACTCTATAACTCTGGTTTATTCTTATTTAGAATAATTTTATTTATTTAATAGTGAAAACTTGGGATCCCACTTGAAAAGAAGTTTAAGTATTACATGATTTTACAAATGATGGATGTGAAAGTCGACGATTTCATCAACGAATTTAAATCCCAAAGTAATTGATTAATTCAAATTCTCTTATATTTAAACTTCTTTTCAATGGCATCATAAGTTTTCACCATTAAATAAATAAATATTATTTAAATAAGACTAAATCAGATTATAGAATATACGAAAGCATGAAATATCAATTATTTGAAAAACATTGCAAAAAAAAGGCAAAAAATATTATTTCACAAAATTATAAATCGTTTGCCACGATCAACGATGTATTCACCTCAATGAACCATACTAAGGCTAATTTGGCCTGCACAATAGTCAATGTTATACACATAAATGATGAGGGTAAGTTGCTTGAAATTTTAAAGTTCAAGGTCTAGGATACTATTCACATAATAATTTAGGGTCTATGACGCTAACTAACTAGGGCACACAATGAATAGTAACGGTGTTGAAAAAAAGATAATGATAAGGTTTAATTTATTATGAATTTAAAATTTTAAAATTTATTTTGTATATTTTAAAAGTTGAAGGTCCAGAGCACTTTTTGAACAAGAATCATAGTCTATTTTGCTCATTGACTTATTAAAAAACAATCAATTTGGCCAAATAACATGAGTTTATTTAAGAGTAATAAAAAAATAAAGCCTGTTATACAAGATTGGTCAACAAGACTTAGAGGAGTGATTTAATTAAATATATATATATATATATATATGATATGTTGAATATAAATTTTAAATCATTTTAAGAAGATAGAAAAAAGAAACCAAAGTTACATTTTGCCCATTATGCAGGTTGGATTAGGTTTCTCAACCATTTTATTTGATGAATCCAACTCAACTTATCAAAATTCTAACCCCTCACAATTTGACTTGTAACTTGTTTGCCTAACTCCAGTAATGTATTTCCTCTATTAAAAAATGTTAGATATTTCTTAAAGAGTTAGATATTTAAAAATATAAAGCATTTTTAGTCTTTTGAGGTATAATCATTGCTTTTTTTTCTTTCAAAAGTACCTTTATTGATAATAACTTTATATTTATTATGGGATATTTAATAAGAGTAAATATGAAAAAATAGGATTAGTTTTAAAGTAAGTAACTATTTTATTGAAAATGATATTTAATTAAAAATATCTTACATTTTTTAACGAATGTAGTATATATTTGTTATTGATCTATAATATGTATATGTATCTATATTTTCACATAATGCTTTGTCTCATAATATATTATACATGCCGAAACTTTTTTTTTTTGAAAAAAAAAAGAATCTGGTACTGCAATATTACATATGATATAAAAATTTATGCTAAAAAATATCATTCATATACAGGGCACCTCATCACTTCAAATCCTGCCAAGAACCGGCACTCTAATTCTAATACTATAAAGACAAATTAGGTAGTTTCCGTGATCTTTGACTTTTTATTTTGATATTTTTTGAGATAGATGCCACAAATAAAAATAATTATATATTTAGTTAAGAAATAAAAATTTAATATCTAAATCAACAAACTGACATTTAAAAATTCAAAATGAATGAATTCAATATTAACAGAATCGAGACTCGGCGGAGAAAAGGAATCATGCCCCATCAAAATTTGCATTTTCTAATTCGGGCGAAGAGAAGGAATTTAAGGAAATTTACGTCTTCTGTACTCTTACGAGACTTTAAAGCCAGCTTGATTTGGCAAGAATTTATTAGTTATTACCACTGTCACAGGTTTCTTACGGTATCAGCAATGCATCCAACAAAAGAAAGCAACTAAGGAGTAAAAGAATGGATGATTCTGCACAAGTGAAAGGTACCAGTCAGTGATATCACTGCATTAACAACTGCTCCGAGCAGTCTACAATCTCTCAGCATCATCCGCCTACCTAACCCCACTCCAACGAACGGAAATCAAATTGATAGTGTTCAACAGCAACTCTACCACTAAAAAACAAACTTAAGTCCAAATCCTTTCCTAATTCCTGCAAATATCTCTTATATAAATCAAATCTCTATTGCGCGATATGATAATCAGGCGGTCACCCCAAAAGTTTCAGTGTTAGTTTCATTCTAGTTACCGTGTCAGCCTCCGCATTACCTGAAACCAGAATCACAAACAAAAATTAGATACAAAACCATACAATCTATGGCAAGGCAAACTGTAATCGTACTAACATGACTATTTTTTAAATCAAATGCCACACCAGACACCTGATGTATAAGAACAGAGCGTACTTTATCCTTGATTAAGCTTCTATTCCCCAGGCAAAGAAATATTGATGTCTGGGGTTGGCCCCTGATCAGATAACTCCTCAAATCCATTCCAATCACAAGCATTGGGTGTGGCATCTAAACTCTGTTTATCGCTGCTCGTGATGTTGTCTGATTCTCTGTGGCTTTGTTCTGGAAGCTGCTGCTGGGCCATGGGAATGAAACAGTTTTCACCACCGTCGGGATTCGCCTGTGAGATAGGTCTCGCTGCCATCACAGAGTCTGCACCAGAAACTGGAGATGCCACAGTGTTCTCACGATTTTGCTTTCTTTTCTGCGCCTTGTGACCATGCCCCGCCAAGAAGCTTCCCATCACAATCTATAATCACACATGTCACCATAAATCCTTCAAAATGCTAAACAACATAGTGCAGATTCAAACATCTCGGCCACATATGAAACCTAGAAACAACCTTAACCAAGTGGTGACATGTTAGTGTGTTTTCTTTTGTCCTCAGCTGAATGTATTGACGCAGTTATCAGATTCACACTCACTAATTAGACTAGAATGTTTTAAAATGCTATGACAGAATGTCCAAATAAAATAGGTTTAACAGAAAAGTTCAAACTTGAAGGCACTTGATGGAATAGGAATAGATGCAAAGCAGTGAAAGAAGATCTTCATACTTGGATTGGGCTAGCAGCAGTCAATAAACCAGCAACACCACCGCCTATGACACGACCGTCAGGGCCAGCCAGCGAGACACTCAATCCACCAGTTCGACTTCTTATGCCCCCATTATCAGACACTGTGAATGACCCTGACAAAGATAAAATCTCGAACCGACCCTGAATTAAAAAAAATGAAAGGTTTCATTGTTGTAAAATGCTCGGAATTAATTGCAGTGGTTTTGTCTACAGTAAGACATCCTAAAAATAGAAGGAATGGCACATGAAATGGTTCAGAGCCTGACCACATGGTCAACAAGAGAAATTTCTGACACAGTTCTGGATGATGAAGCATTAATTAAATAAATAATAATTAATTATCAGCATCATATCGTTGTACCTCCATGCCCATGTTTTAACATGTCATGTCCCGCCTAGGGTTTTATGTTGTAAAACAATTATTTCCCCAAGGTAGCTGGAACCCATTTTCCCAAACCCGACATTGGGAGAGACATGACACAGAAATCATCTGTGCTAGAAGCATCTATTGCTATCGTCTTCGACATATCCATATTCTAAACGCATGGTAGAACAGATCATTACACAAGTCCATGATTAAACTATGCAGGGCAGAAAGTTCACCCAGAAACTTGCAGATTTAAAAAATAACAAAATCAAGAGACAATACCAAAGATATGGCCTTTGTAATCATTTGTTATCATGAATGGCAAAATCATGTCGAAATGCGAGCAATTTAAATAAGAAAAGAAAAACATTCCGATAGCCGAAGAATAGTTATTATCAGAAAGAGGATGCAGATCTCAGAAGTCATCATGCCTCGTATGTTAATAAGCCACCGGAAGAACCAGGCTGCCGTAGAGTGACATTAGATATAGCTCCATTGGCAGAAAGAACGCAAACTCCTCTGGGACCCTTCTGGGCAAATGACAGGATTTTTCCGGCGACATCCTGCATGGAGGCCATCAAGTAGGATCCATGTCACGCTTACCAAAAGATTATACTTTGGGATCAGTTTATTGATGATGTGAAATCACCGGGTATCATAATTTTATTTGAATCTGCGCAAAGGCTAAAATTGTTCAGTGCTTTACGCATTACCTCTCCAGTATGAACAGTGACGACGTGAGGTGTAAAATCCCCACCTGCTGTGTTTGCAAACAACTCACCTTCAAAGATCACAAGCGGATGTAAGATTTCTTGCTCAAAGAATTTGCTATATCCAGTGACTTCAAACTAAGAACTCGCAAGTTACGCGCAAGGCATGTATTTAGCGAAACATCCTTTTTCTTTGCCCATTATAGATGAACATATCAACCATAGATTCTAGGCCACGAGAAGCAAAGCTTAACTCGTTTCAGCCATGAAAAGCCTAAACTTAAATGTTTTGTCCATATTATTGGTGAAAAATAAACAAAGAGGAAAACATAAAACTTGTATCTTGTCCTGAAACGGTTAAGATTTGAGTTACCATAAGCAAAAATTTTCATTTAAGGAAAAAAGGGGGAAAAAAAAACTAAGCACAGATTTGAGACCGAACCCTTCCATCCTCAAAATATAATTCTGGAATTCAGCCGCAGAGAAAAAATGGCAGTTCTGTGTAAAATTAAAACAAAACTCACCTAAAGATGCGAGGAGCTTCCAGTTCCCGGAGCCAGGTGGTCTTCCTCGACCCCTTTTGGAGGAAAATTCAGAAGGTGAAGTTGGGGACAAAGAAAAGCCTTGTTGTGATTGTGCACCCTGGTACGATGTCGTCAGCCTCGGCTTCCCATCTGAATCATATTTTCTCGGCCTCCCTCGCTTCTTTTTCCCGAACAAATCGAAACTCCCTTGCCCTCCTCCTCCGGTAGTTGCAGGCGATGCCATTGTCGCTGCGTCTCCAACTGTTGCCCCTCCACTATTCTGCAAGTTCATGTTAACCGCCATGTTCGTTACCTGAGACAGGGAGGCTCCGATGGGTTGCAGGGGCTGCCCGGAATCTGAGTTCCCAGTTGACCCGAAAACATGGACATCTTTTTCTTCCATCAAAAAGCGTTTGGACGAGGCAGGTAAAAAAATGAAAGAAGGTATAAAGACGTTGTTGGAGTTTCCAGTATCGGAAGCCTGAAAGGTGAATAGTTCAAGTTTGAACCAGAAAGACTCTGCAAATGGCGCCAGAAGTAGAAGAAGTAGAAAGCTTTTTCTATCTTTGGATGGGAGAAATTATGAATTCGCACTCTCCATTAATGGAGGAAAATCAGACTGAGTGTCTGGACTACTGTTCATTTATTTATTCCAATATTTAAAAAATCCATTAATGATCATCTGTGATAAATAAAGATATTCAGCCGAGATTTTGTTTTCTTTCCTTACCTTGAAATATTCAACCGAGATTTTGTTTAATGCCCAAATTATCCCCGCAAATGGACAACCTGACAAGAGATTTGTGTTTCAAATCCTTTTGGCAGGAAGACTTTGTTTTTATTAGGGAAAAAGAGATGATTTTGGTTTCTGCATATACAATTATTCCTTCCCTTTTCCTTTCTTAAAGCGTCTCTTTTTTTAAAAAAAAATTCTTTTTATTTATCTATATTTCAAAAAAGCAACTGATTAAGACGACGCTAATTCTTATTTTTTAATTGTATCCTTATTTTTACTAATTTTAAGTCCAAGACAACATTAAAATAAAATAAATTGAGATATCAGTTATATTTTAAATTTATGGACAGAAACTTCAAAGTATACAGAAATAATTTTTTTTGGCGAAGAATAGACAGAAATAAATCGTGGGAGTATTCAGTATTCATTGCTAATAGTTTGCATTCATTAAACTTGGTAAAATGACATATAATCATAGCAGTGAGTTAGGCGTAAGATTATTATTCTTAAACTGGGTTTTACAGGCTCACTGAGCCATGTCAGGATAGTAATATTATATTAAAGACACCCGTTGGGAAAAAAAAATTAATAAATGTCTGGAGTATATCCTATTAAATCGAATATTCTTGTAAGCAAAATAAGAAGCGTAGCCCTCCATAAAAAAGAGCCCCAGAAAATATAGGTAACAATGTAACATAGTGAGAGTGTGAAGGACATTTGAGTAAAATAACATATTAGGCCACTGCCGTAGATTGGTTGAATGTAGGAAGAGGGAGCTTGCCATTAAAAAATTGCGGTCAAAGTGTTGTTGTTCAGATAAAGTGATAAGCGCTAATAAAATAGTATTTGGGAGTTATCCAAGTGAGTTGAAAATAGAAAAAAGAAAAAAAGAAAAAAGCTGAAGCCCCTATTCTTACGTTTCCCAAATCAATTGGCATCAGAATTCTATTTTGTCCAGCACTTCCAGATTTTGATACCTAAACTACCCCCCACTCCAGTCCACCATCTCAGCGTTTCGTTTTCCACTCCACATTTTATTTTCTAGGCCCAAAAAAAAAAACTAGAATTCTTGAGCAAGTCAAGCACCCAAATTAATATTTTTTTCAAGAAGGAAATAACGGCACTCAAGAGCATACAAAAGACTATACTTCCTTTATTTTCATTTATAAAAAAAACTATTATTTTTAACTTATTTTTTTATATAAAAAAAATTATATTTTTCAATAAGCATTTATTGTAAATTTTTTAAATTATTCTCCATAATTTTATCATTCATGATCAAAAAAAATAATTAATGAAGGTTTGAATAACACAATTAATAAAAGGTATTATAGTTTAATTTTTTTATTTTTAAATATTATTAATATAGTTAATTAATTTTTAAAATTATGTGATATAATTTTTTTAACAAATAAAAATGAAGTGAGTATTTAAGAGGTGGAACTGTGAGAAGGAAAGCCTGTATATTTAACATAAAAAGTATAGATTATATTTCATATTAATATATTTTTTATACATCATAATGATTATGGTTGAAAAATAAACTTCTGCTCACAGACTATCCCATTTTAGCTATCCTCAGGTGACGTTTCATTTTATATCAATATTGATGATTGATATACAAAAGTAAGGTCAGGCTAGGTTAGCTATCAACTTGATTACCAGCTTTCATATGTACAAAGACCGAAACTGAGCTAACCTAGTACAAAGACTGAATCATTAATTTTTTATGAGATTTATAAAAATAATTTTTTATATCTAATCCATCCTTAATTATAACACGTTTTTGGATAAAATAACACATTAATAAAATTTATTAAATATACTTTATAATTTTATTTTTTAAAAAAATATCAATTTCTAAAATTATTTTTCATTCAATACTTTATTTATAAAATAATATTAAAAAAAAGAACATATAAAAAGGATAATATAAAAATATCACTAATAAAAATTAATTTTTATTAAATTATTTTATATTTTAAGATGTCAAAAAAAATTTTAAAAATATTTTATAATTTTGGATAGAAATAATATATGTTAAAAGTGTTATCATATACTCCGTCCGTTAAAAATATAAGTCATTTTTAATATAATTTTATTTTAATAAAATAGTTACTTATTTTTAATTTAATTTTATCTTTTCATATTTATCTTTATTAAACACCCTATAATAAATATAAAATTATTTATTAATAGAGATATTTTTTAAAAAGATAATAATTATATTTTAAGAGGTTTACAATATTTTATTTTTTAAAAAAATATTTTATATTTTTAAATAAAGATAGTACGTCTATAAGAGGAAATGGTAAAAAGAAAAACCAAATTCTGCCCATAAAAAGTGGAATTAAAAAAGGAAAGAAGAAAGAGAGAAGATAAATCCATAGATTATTTAAGTGGCGGGGAAAAAACAAAGGGAAGAAGGAAAGAAAAGTAGGAAACAGTAAAATAAAAGCTGTCGGTAAGAGTGAGATGGTTGACGGGCCTGACAATTCACGCAACCCATTATTAATTGTATAATGAAGGGTTCATGACTCTGCTTCCTTGTTTTGGTCCTTTGCCCCTCTCTCTCTCTTCTTCTTTCCCAGTCTCACGTACTCTGCCTTCCTCTCTTCAAACTGCGACTCTGAAATCCCCACCACCTGTCTTTCTTCCACAAATTTCCCCCACTAATTATACCCTACTCATCTAAGCCTGCTCATTTCCATTTATAATATTATAAATTTATTTAACACTCTCTGTTATTCATAAATCTTAAATTGTAAGATAAAGTTAACAGTTTGTTACGCTATGGTTTGCACTTTGCACTCACTCTTACTAGCGTGCGTGCTTGGCTGATTTATAATCAAAAATCAAGGAAAAATTATTATTTTGATTCGAACGTTATTATGATCCCGTGCAATGATTTATGTTCATTGCTTGAATATGATCTACCTAGATCAAGTAGAAATTGATGCTTTGTTCTTCTTTTCCTCTAGAATTGATACTTTTATTGTGTGTGTTTGCCCAAAATTAATTTGTTAAAAGTTTATTTAGTAAAAGTAAGTTGTTATAATAAAATTTATATTTAAATACATATTTTTAAAAATTAATTTAGTAAATTAAAAATTATTTAGATTATATATAGTGAAATATGTTTTTGAATATATAATTATAAAAAAAACATTGATTTATAATTATTTATAATTTTTATTATATAGATGCAATATATTAGAAATATTTTAAAATGTTTGATTAAAATTTTAAATAACATTAAAATTTGATATGTTAAGTAATTTATAAAATAAAAGGATGCATAAATAATATAATTTTTTCTCTTGAATAATATATACTCCATCCATTCAAAAATGTAAGACATTTTTTGAAGAATTAAATGTTCAAAAATATGAGACATTTTTAGTGTTTCGAGGTATAATCATTTCTTTTTTTTTTCAAAAGTGCCCCTATTAATAATGATTTTATATTTATTATAGGGTGTTTAATAGGAATAAATATAAAATAATAAAGTTAATTAAAAAATAGATAATTACTTTATTAAGGGTGAGATTCGGTTAAAAATGTCTTATATTTTTTAATGAAGAGAATATATAATAAAAAATAGTAAAAGTAATTTGGTAAGCAGATTATTCATAATAGAGAGGTTTTATTGGTATTTGAAGTGGGGAGGGCAACACGAAAAAGAAAAAATTATTTAAAATATTGCAAGCTTCAATTGACTTCTCCAAATACAAAAGTTATTGCCATTGAGGTTGAGGAAATTGACTTTTAAAAGCTTTCTAAATGAACTTTTGAAATGTGCTTTAAAAAAAAAGAAAATCAAATAATTTTGACTTTCTAATATTCATAAAAGTTCTTTTCAAATGTTAAAAGCTGGAAAACTAGATGAACCCTTGATATATAATATACTTCTTTGGTCATAATTTATAAGATAACGTTAGAAAAATTTTTATCTTAAAATATAAGATAATTTGAGAAAATTAAAATTTCATAAATGATATTTTTTTAATTTTATTCTCCACATGGAAATAGAATTAAAATAATATTGTAGAGTAATGATTAATATATAAAGATATTTTTTGAAAGTATATAATTTTTTTTAAAAAAATAAGTTAATAAAGTATCATTATTATATTTTATTAATATACATCATTTCATTTAAAATTATTTTATAATGTGGCATGAAGTATTTAATTTGACCATTGTTCGTCGCGAACAACAAGTTACTAAGAATGCCAGAGACGCTAACTCTTAATCGATAACAAAAAAGTCCCTGGACTCCTTTACCACAATTTATCCGAATGTAAAAGATATTCAAGACTTGAAACAATTTTTGATTATTATCAAAACATAAATGGTTACAAGTCTAAATTAAAGATAAAACTACTTGATAAATCTAAGAACTATGGATGTAAAATATTAGTCTTTTAAGTATCGACTTTTCTTCTTCTGTGCTTTGGTACTTTATTTATAATGACAGAATGATGGTGGCTTATCCCTTAAAACTTGTAATGTTCTTACAAAGAATTAGGTATCTCACAAAACTTATGACATGGTCTTTACTTGTTGCCTTTCATTTTTATTAACCAACCCATCCCGCCAAAATACTTAGTCATGATGGTGTTGTTCTTACAAGATTTGGGATTGTTTGAAATTATGTTTTTATGTACTAATGGTCCACAAAGTGGGTTTACAATTGGCAAAATTTTGACATGCTTAATTAGCCATGACTCTCCACTGAACTTTGGGCTAGTTCCATTGTTGACTGAGCATGACTCTTAAGTCACTTAACTTATATGACTTTAGGTTTACTCAAACGTTTTAGCAAGTGACTTTTTATGTTTAGTCTAAACCACTATCATTTTGTTGCATGGCTTCAATATTTAAACAACAATAATATA